CTAAAAACAGTGAAACAATTATGGCACAGGAGGGGTGGAGGAAGAGAGGATGGTGAGTTATATCCTAATCTAATAAAGAAGAAAGGCAGTTTTAGATACATAATATCTAGAATTTATAAATTGAGAAATAGTAATATAAGCATATTATTAATTAGCCATAGGGCTAAAAAATCACTAAAAGAAGTAAAAAATGGAAGCAGTTACTAAATTAAAAGTGGTTCTCCCTGAGTAACAGAATGAAGAACAGGGAGAATTACTCACAGGATTTCTTTTTCATTTATGTACCCTTCTAACAATTTGACTTTTTAAAAAGGGGGCTTTATCACTCCGGTTTAAAAAAAATACTTAACACATAATATTGTAGTTGGTTTCTTTCTTTAGAACTACGTAGAACTAGAAGGAAACTTTGAGATCACCCAGCCCAGCCCATTCATTTTATAGTTAAAATGTGGCAGACCATATTTTCCAAAGATGGCCACACCACTATATCCCATCCACATGCTCTCTTTACAGCATGATACCAATGCTCCTCCATCAGAGGTGCGGCCTATGTTCCCACTTGAATCAAGTTGGCTATGACTATGGTGGAAATAACACCATAACCTTTAAGGTGAGGCCATGAAAGGCAACAGAGTTTCTCCCAGCTCTCTTTTCTAAGACACTTATCTTGGAAGCCCTGAACCAACATGTAAGAAATCTGACTAGTCTTAAACCAGCACACTGGAGAGGTCAAATAGAGACTACTGAGACAACAAGAGTGGAAGGAAAACAGGGAGGGAGAGAGGAAGGGATGGGAGGGAGGGTGAGGCTCTTCCTATCCCAGATGTTAGACTTATTAATGAGACTTCAGATTTGTGATGTCCAATAGAGCAGCCACTAGTTACATGTAGCTATTTTAATTAAAATTAATTAAAATTAAATAAAACTTTAAAATCTGTATTTCAATTACATAGTCCTATTTAAAGTACTCAGTAGCTACATGTGGCTAGTTTCTGCACTAGACAGGGCAGATGTAGACCATTGCTATCATCATATAAAGTTCTAATGATATATGTGCTCCGATGTTCAGTGCAGCTTTATTTACAGTGGCCAAGACATGGAAACAACCAAAGTATCCTTCAATAGATGATTTGATAAAGACGATGTGGTATATATATATATACACAATGGAATATTACTCTGCCATAAGAAAAGATGAAATAGTGCCTTTTGTGACAACATGGATGGATCTTGGTATTACTATACTAAGCAAAATAAGTCAAATAGAAAAAGTCGAGAACCATATGATTTCAATGATACGTGGAATATAAAACTGAAAACAACAAAGGAACAAGACGAACAAATAAAGAAACAAAAACTCATAGACACAGACAATAGTTTAGTGGTTACCAGAGGGTAAGGAGGGTGGGGGGGTGGAAGATGAGAGTAAAAGGGTTCAAATATATGGTGATGGAAGTAGAACTGACTCTGGATGGTAAACACACAATTTGATATATAGACGATGTATTACAGAATTGTACACCTGAAACCTATGTAACTTGACTAACAATTGTCATCCCAATAAACTTTAATTTTAAAATAAACAATAAATTAAAAACAAAAATAGGAAGTTCTAATCCACAGCGTTGCTTCAGATAATTCCAGTCCCCTACCTTCAAGCTACCCCAGCTAATGCTGTGTGGTATAAATGCGTGGGCAAAATTAATGGTGTTGCTTTCAGCCACTGATATTTGGGGTGATTTGTTACATAGCCTAAGTAAGAGTAATACTAAGGAAAGTAAAGCTCAGAATGTGAAATAATCTGCTGCAGTCTGGAGTCCAGAGAGCCAATCAAATACTAGAACTAATCACATTTCATTTCAACGTCCAGTAAGTGTTTGTGAATAAACTAACAAGAAGAGTCTCAATACTGGAACCCTCGATATATATATATATTACCCTTAATATATATATATATATATATATATATATATATATATTAAGATTCCATTGGGGAATTTGGGGAAGGGGAATCGTGTTGGGGAACTTGGGAAGGGGGACAGCCAACCTGTGTCCCTCAACCCCAGCTGTGGAGGGCGCAGCCAGCCCAGCTCCAAGTCCAGTCACCATCTAGCCGACTGTTGGCAGCTCAGCTGCTCAGCTCAAAATGCCGTATTCAATCCCAGCTGTGGGGGGGCATAACCCCCCCATCCCATGCAGGAGTTGAACCGGCAACCTTGCTGCTAGGAGCATGCGCTCTCACCACCTGAGCCATCCCGCAGCCCGCTAGCAGATCAGCTGCCCATGTGGGAATCCAACCGGCGACCCCACTGCCCAGAGCTTGCTCTCCCAACCGAGCTACTCGGCCAGCCCAAGCCCTCAATATTTTTAACCTCAAATACTCTACCACGATGCACCAGAAGAGTTATCTCTACTACTCCAGAAAAAGGTTTGATGATTTTTGGATCTGAAGGAACAACAGGAATCAGAAGTGCTAGCACCAGTAAATTAGTGGAAATAAAATAAAATAAAATAAACCAACCAAGTCCAAGCTTTTTTCCAATGACTTTACTAGACTTGCCATTTAACAGGTGAAGCTTCACTTGATTTTCCAGTTTTTACACTTATATAGTATTCTTTACTTTTTGAAGTATTTTGTAAGTATTACAAATTTTTAAAATAAGCAAATCGAACAAACCTTTGAGAGTGTTTATCAATATTAACCAAAAGCTTTCTTTTTTTAAATACTCCCTTACCAAGTAAGGCTATTTAAATAAAATCTAATTTTTCATTATTTGAACTAATGGAAATTACAGACTTGGAGAATCAAAACATAATGTGAAATTTAAGTGAATTTCCACCTAAACATGAATATAGCAATTGTTATGAGATTTTATTTTTATTAATGAATAATGAAGCTACATTGAAACAACCTGGAAAGTGGCACAGAGTCCCCATCTGACTACAGCACAAAGATGGACTTTATGTGCAGGCTATAAAATTTTCAGCCAGCACAAGCCTAAACAGACAGGCCAATTCAAAACTTTCATGTATAAAATTAGATGATATTGAATAATTACTGTTAATTTTTAAATTGCTAATAGCTATGTTTTAAAGAGCTCTTATCTTTAAGAGACAGATGTTAGAATTATGATAAAATAGTATCAGGGATTTGCTTGATGAAAACAGCCGGGTGGTCTGTGTAGGGCAATGTAGATAAAACAAAGGTAGCCATGAGTTAAGGACTGCTGTAACTACTATTCATTATACTCTTTTTTTTTTTTAATTGTTAGTTTCAGGTCTATTCATTATACTCTTGTCTTTTCTATTTGTGCTTGAAAATGTCCATAGTAAAAAATTAAAAAAAACAAACCAATCAACCAACAAACTTGTCTTGTTAAATGTTTTGGTTTGAAATGCAAAGTAAGAGTAAACAGTATGAAAATAGTGGCAAACTACACCTGTGTAAAGGTCAGGCTTCCTAGAATTTCAACTATTAATGAGAAGGACCAAAATGTTAGAAATAAACACAAAATGCCTCTGATCTTTTAAAATCATTATCACTTTGGGCCAGCCGAGTGGCTCATTAAGAGTTGGCTTGGGAGTGCGAGCTCTGAGCAGGAGGGCTGCCGGTTCGGATCCCACATGGGCCAGTAACACTGCACTCTCTACAGCTAAGATGGTGAACAACGGCTCGGCCTGGAGCTGGGCTGCCGAGAGTCGCCGGCGACGGTGTAGGCTGCAGTGGGGCTTCAGTGGGCTGTCGTAAACTACCGTGAGTGGCTGGCAGCCAGCGTGAGCAGCTGGCAGCTGGCATGAGCTGCCTTGAGCCGCTGTGAGCCACTGTGAGCAGCCGTCCAATGGCTGGAGACCAATCTGCCTCAGCCAGGAACAGCGCAATGATAATACCAACATGGGCCAGTGAAGCGACGTCCTCCACAACTAGACTGAAGAACAAAAGCACAGCAACTTGTCTGTTCCCCGTCCCTGATTCCCCAACGCTGTTCCCTCCCCCAATTCCCCAATAAAATCTTTAAAAAAATAAAATAAAATAAAGTCATTATCACTTCTCATACATACACACAACTGCTTTCATGTCAGGATTACAGTCGAGAGGTAGCTGACTCATACTTACATAGAATTCTAGTACATGTGGTTACTGAATTTCATAGCCAATAGCCAGTAACTAGAAGGAAGGCTAATAAATACAGACACACAAATGGCACAAGACTGCTGATGGTCTAATAGGATAGAAAAGAGAGAACAGCTATAAAAGACATAAAGTTCACCACTAATTAACACAACTTTATGAAGAGTGACAACCAGTACGATTAGTGGAAAGGTCATAGGCTTTAGAGTAAAACACAGACCATATTCCAAAGCCAATTACCTAACCTCACTTTTCTCTTCAGAAAAATTAGTGGTAACTAGCTATATCACTGCCTTGATGACTGAAAAAGATAATGGTCAAGTATCTCAGAAGCAGATTCTCTAATCCCAGTCAACAACTTGCCTGCAACCTTGTGAGAAATCCTGAGCCAAAACCACCAGTCCAACTGCTCCCAGATTCCCAGCTCTCAGAAACTGCATGAAATAATAAATGTTTACTGCATTAAGTTGCTATATTTGGGGGTAACTTCTTGCACAGAACAGACAAGTAACAGATTATATTTAGGGTACAATTTGTCTAATATTTGACTAATTATTTTCTAAATATAGTTACTAAGCCTCTTTGCTATGTAAATTAGATTATGCAAAGGAACCCTTTAATTCATCTGAACAGAATGCTCATCACCTTGTAATGGCATGTTTATATGCTGGATATTATTTTCAGTACTGAACTTCTTGAATCTGACCTTGCTTGTATGCAAGAGAACTATGGGGCAAAAACCCAGACCAGTGTGTCACAGTTCAGTAACTCAGACCCTGACCTAATACTCAGGCCTTACACTGTATTATATATACACTCTATATCTGCTCTACAATATATGTTAATATTAATAAAAAGTACTCAGTCCTACCTGAATGAGGCATTTGCTCACATCACTAGCACAGAGTGCTTTGTTACAACTCAGTGACACAGGGACCCATGCCAGGAACACCATGATGGCTAGAGGAAGCATAACAACAAAATGTGACTTCATGTTTCTTCAAAGACAATCAGTAACTCCCAGGAAGCTAAACAAAAACAAACAAACAAACAAACAAACAAATACCTTTAATTCAAAGGCAAGTGCTAGGGTAAAAACAAATACAAAAATGAAAAACAAAACAAATAAACTAAGATTGACTGTGTTAGAAACTTTTGAGTAATCATTTAAAGCTCACTCAAGATTAAACATGGAAAAAAAACCCCTATAATTTTATATAGCAATGTCTTGTTGGCCATTTTCAAAGATTTAGAATACTGAAATTTCTCAGACTATTCAACTTTAGCTTTAGGTCCATTATTCAACTTTAAACCTATATAAAAGCTTGTATAAAGCTATTGTATTATAATTTGAAAACATTTAACAATATTTTAATTCTTAGAATTAAAACAAATTTTTAAAATGTAAATTATTCTAGTGATGATGACTATCTCATTGTCTCTTAACATGAGGACTCAGAATGAAGCAGCTCATAGAAAGAAGTTGACAGTCATTCCTTAAATAATTTAGCAAACAAAGGGAATAGTAAATTATTAATTGCATTAAGAACTCTTACTAATCTGTGAAGGTATTCTTTTGATTCTATACCACATTACCATAGATTCTTCAAAGTTATTAAGATGATATTACGGTTTAAAAGAAAAAAGGAAAAAAAAAGACTAGCACAAATTCCGACAGTGGCTAAAAAACCAACACGGCTATTAAACTTTTAAAAAAGAGAAGATAAACTTCTTTGGGTTAAAACACCCCCCCAAAATAGAATCAATTAAAATAAATGACTACTGATGTACAGAGATGTGTTTATACTATTTATTGTACTAAATACAATAATGCAAAAACAATAAGAAGGGGAAAAGAAAAAAGGGCTTTGCACACAGTATGACTCAATTTTTAAAGAGAAAGCCCTGGTAATTGTTACTGGGGCCCACAAAGTACCCCTAAAGACCGTTTGTAATCCAATTATCTAATTTATTTAAAAACACAAACCCACTCGGATGATTTTTGGAGCCACCAGTACATATTTCTGGAGGACAAGGAAGGTATTTGAAAACTGATTTTTCCAGAACTAGTTTCCAGAATCAAAAATGGGATTTTTTTTTCATCTCTTACAGTTGTCTTCATCTTACTCCCAAAATCTTACTGAAAAAATATTCAAGTAAATAATAAGGGTATGTACAAAGCAGATAACAATTCAAGAGCTTCTTGTTCTTTTCTAAGGAGTTAGGAACAATACCGCATCAAATCTATTTTCACGCGGTATTGCGACCAGTTTCTCAGGCTCTGGCAACCCGTGTGTGATCCCCAAGGGAGATGGCACTGACAGCAGCCTTTGTGCCTCTGGGCCGAGCCCCTTGCTGCCCCGAAAGGAGGCAGAGGCCACCGCAGCTCTTCAGCCCCAGCTCACCGACTCGCGGCTGACGAGGACAAGGCCAGGACTGCGGGCACTAGCCATGCAGGGAGGTGCCGCCTGCTCGCGGCGCCGGGGCCGATCCCGGCCTGCGTGCCCGCGCCCATCACCCACCGGCGGCGGTACCCCAACTTTATCCTTTGCGTAGGAGGGGCTCAGGCTGTGAGCAAGCAGCTCCGCTTCTCCCGGCTCCCGAGAGGCCCGCCTCGGCTTCCACAGGCCCGAGCTCGGGGCCCAAACCCTCTCGTCCGCAGAAGCGGCCCCAGCTCGCTCTCGCTCACCGTGAGCCGAGGCACCGCGAGGCCGCCAGGCCCTGGATCCCCGGCGGGTCGGCCGAGCCTGTAGCGTGCCGCAGGGCTGAGCGAGGGAGGCAGGCCGCGCCTCCGCGCAGTCCCTCCGCACTGCACCCGCGAGCCTCGGACACCTTAAAGAGACAGCCCCCTTACCTCCCTCCCCGCCCTGGCTCCGGTTCCCCACTCCCCGCTTTCCCTCGCCCTCCTTAGTCTCCCCGCCGAAGTCAGCTCCCGCCAGGAGGCGTCTCTCACTCCCAGGACGCTTCTGTCAGCTACGCCCTCGGTCCCAGCCCTACCAGCGGCTCCACCAAGCCCATGGCCCCGCCCCCACCGTCCCCGGCCCGGCCCACACGAAGGCCCCATCGCCAGGGCCACACCTACCCCGGCGCCCACGCGCGCTTTCCCTCAGCCCCTTTCCGTTCCTGCATCTCTGGGTCCCTTGTCATCCTACCTCAGGCTCCAGCCAACTCCCCTGTCAGGCCCAGTCTCTGGGCGTATCACGTGCTAGTCGCGGAACTGAGAATGTGACGTGCAGAGCTCACTGCAGCCTCACAGCAAGCCTGTGAGGGAGCTGTTATATGCCCAGTTATGGGGATACGAGACTGAGGCACCGAGTGGTCCAGTAGCCTAGACCATTACCCAGTAGAGCTGACATTTGAACACGTGTTATTTGACGTCGGAGGCGGAAATTTTTTAAAATACAGATTTCTGGGATCTGCCTCAGACCGACTGAATAAGGATCCATCCCCAAGACTAGAGCTTTCTTTCAGCAGTTCAATAAAATTTGCTGCGCCTTTAGTGAGTGCCTTGCACTGTGCTTAGCCTTGAAAATGGAAGGAGGCGCCATGAAGCTGGCTCAGAAGGAGCTCACTGGCTTGTGCAGAGGATGGACAGCCGGCTAGACAAATGGCTACAGCGCACCACCCCAAGACTCGGTAGGAGAGGGCTGCCCAGAGCATGCAGGCCAGCACTCATTTTAGCCTGTATTTTGGAAAAATGAATTCATTCCTCCAACAGGTAGCATGTAGATCAGCGGTTCTCAATCTGTGGGTCACGACCCCTTTGGGGGTCAAATGACCCTTTCACAGGGGTCGCCTAAGACCATCAGAAAATAAAAAGATTATGATTCATAACAGTAGCAAAATTACAGTTATAGAGTAACAATGAAAATAATTTTATGGTTGGGGGTCACCACAACATGAGGAACTGTATTAAGGGGTCGCGGCATTAGGAAGGTTGAGCACCGCTGAATTGCAGATAAAGGCAATTTGGAATTCCACTCAGTTCTTTCCCACAACCCTAGGAATTTGCTATTTAAAAATATTCCAGAGTGATTAAGTTGGAGCCCATTGCGCTACATGATCCACAAGGTATTTTCCCCTTGGAAATAGTGAGCTAGTGCTCAAGTCTTAAGCTAGTAGGAGTCTTAAATGCCTTACACTCCCATTTGTTGATTGGAAGAAAACAGAAAGTTGACTGGCTGAGGGGGTGGATTGCATTATTGATGTTAGTTTATTTTTGTACAAAAATTAAATAAGTATACAGCTTAAAAATCATCCCTGAAAATTATTCTAAAGAAATAATTGCGTGTATATAAATTAACTTTAAGGATCTTATTCTAGGCATTCTGTATTGGCTGAATGAAATATGATACTCCAGTGCAATGGACTAAATCAGCTATTAAAAAATAACACTGTAGAGCCGGGCGAGTGATGCATTGGTTAAGAGCTGGCTTGGGACACCAGAGGGCCCCGGTTTGGATCCCACATATGAGGGCCAGTGACACTGCCCTCTACAGTTAAGATGCTGCACAACAGCTCAACCTGGAGCTGGGCTGCTTTGAGTTGCAGGTGGCAGCGTGGGCTACAGCCCCTGCTGCAGTGGGTTGCCATGGGCTACCATATGTAGCCAGCAGCCAGCATGAGCAGCCATCCAGAAGCTGGTGACTGATCTGCCTCACCCGGGAAGAGCGCAATGATGGTGCCAACTTGGGCCAGTGAAGCAACGTCCTCCACAACTAGACTGAAGAACAAAAAGGACAGCAACTTGTCTGTTCTCCTTCCCCCAATTCCCCAACGCTGTTCCCATCCCCCAATTCCCCAATAAAAATCTTTAAAAATAAATAAATAAATAAATAAATAAATAAATAAATAAATAACATTGTAGGACCGGCTGAATGGCTCAGTTGGTTAAAAGTGCAAGCTCTGAGCAACAGGGTCGCTGGTTCGATTCCCACATGGGCCAGTGAGCTGCGCCCGAGCTGAGCTACCAACAGGTGGCAGGATGGCTCAGCTGGTGAGGAGAGCATGTGCTCCTAACAACAAAGTTTGACTCCCACACAGGATGGTGGGCAATGCCCACCCACAACTAAGATTGAACACAGCACCTTGAGCTGAGCGGCCACAAGCTGCCGACGGGCAGCCAGATGGCGACTGGACTTGGAGCTGAGCTAGCTGCGCCCTCTGCAACTAAGATTGAAGGACAACAACTTGGCTGTTCCCCTTTCCCAATTCCCCAATAAAATTTTTTTAAAAGTAAAAAAATAACATTGTAGATCAGAGGCTCTCAAACTTTTTGGTCTCAGGACCCCTTTATGCTCTTGAAAATAATTGAGGGCTCCAAAGAGGTGTTGTTTATGTGTGCTATATCTATCAAAACTTTTGAAATTAAAATTAAGATATTTAAGAAATATTTATTCTTTCTTTCATTTAAAACGGACTCCATTTTATGGTAACATGAATAACATATTTTATAAAAAAATAAGATAATTTCCAAAAAAAAAAAAAAATAGTGAGAAGAGTGTCATTGTTTTATATTTGTGCTATTCTCTTTAATGTTAAACTTAATAGAAGGCAGCTGGATTTTCATATCTGCTTCTGCGTTCAAACTGTTGTGGTATCATATATTATGTAGCTTCTAAGAAACGACTCCATACTTGTGAGAGAAGAATGAAAATGGCAAATAATGTATTAGAATTAAAATAAACATAGTATTGCGCTCATCAACTCCCTGAAAAGGTCTTGGGATCCCCAGGGTCTCCAGATCACATTTTGACAATTAATGTTGCAGGTGCATATGGTTGACACGGAAAGATATTCATAATATATCAACATTTTAAAGTTATGTATATATTTTAGAATTAATATTAAAAATTGTGTATATATTACAGTTATTTTTAAAGACCTGGAAAGACAACAATGGTGTTAGCAGTGATTATCTCTTGGTGAGATTATGAGTGATTTTTGTTGTTGCTATTTTTTCTTTCTGCTTGTCTGCATTTTTTTATGTCTTTCCTTGCATTACTTTGGTAATAAAAAAATATACAGTTATTTTTAATTTAAATTAAAGACTCTCTTTGATATACTCTAGATGCTCAAATGGTGGTTGAACCCCCAGGTGGCTATCAAGTGTTCCTGAATCTTTTTTGGCAGTTTGGGGATCACAGCTGCAGGGGTTACTGTAGTGCAGCGGTTTGCAACCTTCCTAATTCCGCGACCCCTTAATACAGTTCCTCATGTTGTGGTGACCCCCAACCATAAAATTATTTTCATTGCTATTCTATAACTGTAATTTTGCTATTGTTATGAATCGTAATGTAAATATCTTTTTGTTTTCTGATGGTCTTAGGTGACCCCTGTGAAAGGGTCGTTTGACCCCCAAAGGGGTCGCGACCCACAGGTTGAGAACCGCTGCCTAGGGGAGAATCCATTGCCTTGCTTTTCTAGCTTCTAGAAGCCAACTGCAATACTTGTTACTGTAGGCAAAATATTCTATGAGGGAAGGGGAAGAAAAGGAAGGAGGAGGCAAGGCCAGACATCAAGGAAGAGGCAAGGTCAGCAGTTAAGGAAAAAGACCACTACAATCCAGCCAGGACTGGATTTCAGCAGCCAATAGAGGATCCAGGATGCCATCTTGCCACTTTAGGGGAACTTTAGCTGATTATAATGGATTATAATATTATTAGCATGGCAACCAAAAAAAAATCTCCACCCCCTGTGTTGTAATCACAGTTCTAAGAGAACCAAATATGGACAAAAACGCCCTATCCCAACAGGAAGGAGTGGTCAGCAAGGACCCACCTAAGAAGGCCTACAACACCACCTTTTGGTCCTGAATATTCCACCCTTTTATTTTAAGTATAATAAATTCCCAAACCCCACTTCTCTTCGCAGTAGCTGCTTTTCCTCTGAGCCTGTCCGCTCTCGCTATCTTGAGAGTGTACTATCCTTTACTATTAAATAATAAATCTACTGCTTGCTTGGCTTATTCGGTGCATCCTTGAATTCTTTCCTGCTACCAACATCAAGAACCCATTTTTTGGTAACAGTCTAGTGCAGGGGTCGGCAAACTTTTGAGACGGAAGAGCCAATCCTGTGTCTTGAAGTTTTGCGAGAACTATAAAACAAATGAAATCACCATTATGTGGATAATATCCTTTAAAAATTTTATAAATGAAACTATGATAGTTTTATTTTCATTTTCAATTTTACTTCAGAGCCACATGTACGTATCTTAAGAGCCACATGTGGCTCGTGAGCCGCAGTTTGCCGACCCCTGGTCTAGTGGCCCATTCCTGTATCTTCAAGGCCAGCAGCAATTGCAGTTTGTGAACTTCTGGTCTAGAACTCACTCTTATAGGTGGTGGGTTATATACTCTCACCTCTGTGACTCCCCTTACCCAGCCAATCCACTCCAAAAGGAGCAAAAGGGGAGGCCAAGGCATGGTTTTCCACCTTGGTTCTCTAAAGGGTAGTGAGCAGAGCCCCAGTCCTAGCCTGCAGGAGGCAGGATGAAGGGCCCAGGAAGGGAAGGAAGATCGGGCCTGGCTGAAGGTGGCTTCCATCATGTGCATCTTACAGCCCAGTGGAGACAGGAAAACTACTCTGTCTCCCAAGGGAACTGCTGACTGCAGTTGGCTGGAGATTCTGGTTTGGAATCCATGGTCCCAATTCTTATCTTTTTCCACTTGGATGACTCAACTGAATTAGCTGATTTAGTTTTACAGATTTGAACTAAAGTGATTCAGTGTACAGTCTCTCTGCGCTTGTGGGAGAGATCTATTGGTGATGGAAGGTCCGTTTGAAGACAAACTTCCATTCTCTTTTACTCTTTCCCTCTTTCTTCTTCCCTCCCTGCTTTGTTTTGGGAATTACCAGTAAACTATCAAAAAATGGGGGAAAGAAAATGGATTACTTCCAAAGACCTCTCTTGTTTTGTTCTATTTATTCTAA